ATGCTAAGTTTGAGAGGCCTTTAGATATCTAAGCCAAGTAGACTTCTGGGAATTTGAAAATCAGAGGCTGGAGATATATATATTTTGGAGTTGTCAGCACAAGAGGGCCAAGCGTGATCTGCAGGGAGGGAGTGGGTACAGAAAAAGGTCTGTGACTGAGTTTTCCACATTTTAGAGCATAGAAGAAGCAGAGTCAGCAAAGAGGATAGAGGAAGAGAGGAACAACTGAAACCAGGAGACTGGAGTGTGGCCACCTGGAGGCTGAGCTGAGAATGTGTTTTCCGGGGAAGGAGTAAATGGTTATGTCATATGCTGTGGAGAAGTTGAGTTTGTGGATTGGATTTGACCTTGAAGATCACTACATTTGACCTTAACGAGAAAGGTCATTTGCAATCTGGAAAAGAACAATTTCCTTGCATGTGTGGAAGCAAAGGCCTAGTTGGGATGGGTGACAGAGCAGATGATAAGTGAAGAAGTAGAAATAATGGGTCAAGTGTACTTACTTCCAACGTCTAGGAAGAGCTGCTTATACACCATGTGTGTGCCTGCTCAGTTGCTGTTTTGTATGACTCTTTTGCAACCCCATGGACTGTAGCCCTCCATGCTCCTCTTTCCATGAGATTTCCCAGGCAAGAACACTGGAGTGGGTTGCCATGCCTTCCTCTAGGGGATCTTCTCCACCCAGGGATCGAACCCCTGACTCCTGTGTCTCCTGCATTCACAGGCAGATTCTTCACTCCTGCACTACCTGGGAAGACGACATTCAAGCCCCTAAAAGTTTTACACAGAACTCTGGATGTGTGTGGCAAGGTGTGTCCTCCAACAAGAGAGGCCATATCTTTCTTCTGATATTTAAAAGAGTTTGTCACTGTAAACCTTCTTCCAGTTTACAGTAACTGATGCAAGCTGCCAGCCTTAGTTCTCGGGGCTAGGCTGGAAGAGTGTAGAACTCTCCCTAGTTGCTAGTTTCCTGTTCTGGTCAATGTGGGAATGCCAGCAGTGAAAAGGAGAAGAAACGAAAAAGAAAAAATATAGTAGGCTTCCATTTTTCATCATTCAGTTCAGTTCAGTCGCTCAGTCGTGTCCGACTGTTTGCGACCCCATGAATTGCAGCATGCCAGGCCTCCCTGTCCATCACCGACTCCCGGAGTTTACACAAACCCATGGCCATCGAGTCAGTGATGCCATCCAGCCATTTCATCCTCTCTTGTTCCCTTCTCCTCCTGCCCCCAATCTCTCCCAGCATCAGGGTCTTTTCCAATGAGTCAACTCTTTGCATGAGGTGGCCAAAGTGCTGGAGTTTCAGCTTCAGCATCAGTCCTTCCAATGAACACCCAGGACTGATCTCCTTTAGGATGGACTGGTTGGATCTCCTTGCAGTCCAAGGGACTCTCAAGAGTCTTCTCCAACACCATAGTTCAAAAGCATCGATTTTTCGGCGCTCAGCTTTCTTTACAGTCCAACTCTCACATCCATACATGACCACTGGAAAAACCATAGCCTTGACCAGACAGACCTTTGTTGGCAAAGCAGTGTCTCTGCTTCTTAATATGCTATCTAGGTTAGTCATAACTTTCCTTCCAAAGAGTAAGTGTCTTTTAATGTCATGGCTGCAATCACCATCTGCAGTGGTTTTGGAGCCCCCCAAAATAAAGTCTGACACTGTTTCCACTGTCTCCCCATCTATTTCCCATGAAATGATGGGACCAGATGCCATGATCTTAGTTTTCTGAATGTTAAGCTTTAAGCCAACTTTTTCACTCTCCTCTTTCACTTTCATCAAGAGGCTCTTTAGTTCATCTTCACTTTCTGCCATAAGGGTGATGTCATCTGTATATCTGAAGTTATTGATATTTCTCCCTGCAATCTTGATTCCAGCTTGTGCTTCTTCCAGCCCAGCGTTTCTCATGATGTACTCTGCATAGAAGTTAAATAAACAGGGTGACAATATACAGCCTTGACGTACTCCTTTTCCTACTGGGAACCAGTGCATTTTTCCATGTCCAGTTCTAACTGTTGCTTCCTGACCTGCATACAGGTTTCTCAAGAGGCAGGTCAGGTGGTCTGGTATTCCCATCTCTTTCAGAATTTTCCACAGTTTATTGTGATCCACACAGTCAAAGGCTTTGGTGTAGTCAATAAAGCAGAAAAACATGTTTTTCTGGAACTCTCTTGCTTTTTCAATGATCCAGCGGATGTTGGCAATTTGATCTCTGGTTCCTCTGCCTTTTCTAAAACCAGCTTGAACATCTGGAAGTTCACGGATCATGTATTGCTGAAGCCTGGCTTGGAGAATTTTGAGCATTACTTTACTAGCATGTGAGATGAGTGCAATTGTGCGGTAGTTTGAGCATTCTTTGGGATTGCCTTTCTTAGGGATTGGAATGAAAACTGACCTTTTCCAGTCCTGTAGCCACGGTTGAGTTTTCCAAATTTGCTGGCATATTGAGTGCAGCACTTTCACAGCATCATCTTTCAGGATTTGAAATAGCTCCACTGGAATTCCATCACCTCCACTAGCTTTGTTCATAGTGATGCTTTCCAAGGCCCACTTGACTTCACATTCCAGGATGTCTGGCTTTAGGTGAGTGATCACACCATTGTGATTATCCGGGTCATGAAGATCTTTTTTGTTTTCATCATTAGAACCCTTTAAAACTTAACCTTAGAGAAGCAGCTCTCAGCTTTGATTTTTTCCTAGGCTAAAATAGCACCTCTGTGCGACCTCTGGTGGATGCTATAAAAAAGGCAGCACCCCATGCAGTCTTCTTTTTATAGAAAAATATTTGAGAGGTCTTCCCTGGTAGCTCAGTCCATAAAGAATCCACCTGCAAGGCAGGAGACCCCAGTTGGATTCCTGGGTCGGGAAGATCCTCTGGCAGAAGGGATAGGCTACCCATTCCAGCATTTGTGAGCTTCCCTTGTGACTCAGCTGGTAAAGAATCCGCCCGCAATGCGGGAGACCTGGGTTCAATACTTGGGTTGGGAAGATCCCCTGGAGAAGGAAAAGGCTACCCACTCCAGTATTATGGCCTGGAGAATTTCATGGAGTGTATAGTCCATGCGGTTGCAAAGAGTTGGACACAACTGAGCCACTTTCACTTTCAATATTTGAGAAGATTGCCTAGAAAAATGAATTTTTATAAACCGAATGATTTTTCCTAATTATTCAGACTGACATAAATAAATTTATCCATTAAGAATCAACACACCATCCAAAGAGTGTATAAATTAGCTTTTCTGTAATCTCTGAAATGAAGGGGACCCAAATACAATTGCATAGACTTAAAAAATTTTTTTTAATCACCAGGGAAACAGTATATGTAGATTGGGTTTCAGAGAAACAATTTAGTTGGCCATTCTGCATCCACCCACAGAGTTCAAACTCTAAGACTTTCAACTTTCCTTCAAGACACTGTATGAACAAAATTAGCCATTCCTTTGACCTCTCTTTCCATAAGAATGGGTGATACAAGAAGACCTTAAAAGGCGTTTCTATGCTGGTTTTAAAACGTGAAGTGGGGGAAAATTTCTTAAAGGAAAAAGAAGACATTATTTAAAGCTGTAGTATCAATGTGGCATTGGTATTGAGATCAATAAATAGATCAACGGGACAGAACAGGGAGTGAAGAAATAGAAAAAACCCCATAAAGTGTGAAGCTATGTCATGGGGTCTGAAAAGCTGCACCTCTGGGCCTGCAGCCTCTGCTCTAGTTTGGGTCCCACTAGCTTGGGCTTCCCCGGTGGCACAAGGGGTGAAGAACCCACCTGCCAGCGCAGGAGAGCTGAGACATAGGTTGGATTCCTGGGTTGGGAAGATCCCCTGGAGGAGGAAATGACTACCCACTCCAGGGTTCTTGCCTGGAGAATTCCATGGACAGAGGAGCCTGGTGGGTGGCAGTCCATAGGGTTGCCAAGAGCTGGACACGACTGAAGCAACTTAGCACAGCACAGCCTGTTGTTCAACAATTCTCCTCGGAAAGTGTCAAGTTCTCTAAGTACAGGAGTCAAGTCTTAGGTTTCTTTTGTATCTTCAAGCAACTGCTGGTATCCAAGAGGGTTTCAATTAAAGCATGAAATATGCACCTACTAATCACCGAGGAGGAGCTATAAAAATAAGGAGCTTCAGCAGTCTCAAAACAATGTCTATAAGGGATTCTTTAGAGTATGCACGTGTGTGTGCCCAGTTGCTTCAGTCGTATCCAACTCTGTGCGACCCTAGCCTGCCAGGCTCCTCTGTCCATGCGATTCTCCAGGTTAAGAATACTGCAGTGGGTTGCCATGCCCTCCTCCAGGGAATCTTCCTGACCAAGGGATCAAACCCACATCTCCTGCATGGGTAGGCAGATTCTTTATCGCTGAGCTGCCAGGAAGCCCTCTTTAGAGCATATCTTTTATCAAATGAACCATCAGTGTGAGCGATCAAAGCCCAGACCAGGTAACCCATATACTATGTGTATGTGAGATAAAATCCTGGGATGAATGGACCTATTTAAATGACTTAGATTCTTCTGGGTCAGTGATTTGCAAAGTGGGGTCTCTGGACCAGCATCATCAACTGGGGACTTGGTAGAAATGCAAATTCTTGGGCTTCCACCCCAGACTTTCTAAGCCAGTTATTCTTTAGATGGGGCTCAGGTATCTGCTTTTTAACAGGTAATTCCTAGATAATTCTGATGCAGTCAATACTTTGAGAAGCACTTTTATTGGTACTACTTATATTGATAAAGATTGAAGATGTCATTGTGCTTTCCAGACACTTGGAAAAATTCTAGTTATCATTAAGTAGAAATAAACCCACCAAAAATGTGGGACAGCAATGTAAATGCAACAGTTTATTTGGACAAAGGCAAAATAATTATAAAATTAGCCAAGAACCTCCAAGGGGGCTGTTTTTCTTTTAATACTCATGGTTTTGCAATAAATAAAATAATCACTGCCACCAAACAGGCAATTTTATATCCATTTTGCAAATATACTTCATTTGTCACTGAGATTACCTGCAGGTGTATGTTTAATGTGGCATTCATCTCTTTTAATATAAAGTTCTTCTTCGAGTACTTCCTTAATTCTCTTATGTGGTTCACAATATAAAAACTTCTTCCCTGTAAAGACATTAACAAAATTGGTTGCTTATCATAAATTCTGCCCAATCTTCTAGTCATTATTTACATAAATAACTATTTTTTAAAGAGACAAATCCTTCCATACAAATAGCAGGCGTTTCATCCTGCAGACTCTATTTTGGAAAGATCCCTTCCAGTGTAACTTATAGCTTTGCAGGGGGCCGGGGCAGGAGAACTTTACATTTTGCAGTCAAGTTTCAGAGAACTTATTTTAAGTATTATGAAATAATATATGAAGTTTTCTTCATTAGCTTGAAGAAAATTTTCATTTATTTAATAAATTCTTATTAAAGACATATTCTTTGCCAGGCATTTGGGGCAGAGGACACAGCAGTGAGTAATAAAGATACATGGTGGCTCAGTTGATAAAGAATCCGCCTGCAATGCAGGAGACCAGGGTTCGATCCCTGGGTTGGGAAGATCCCCTGGAGAAGGGAAAGGCTACCCACTTCAGTATTCTGGCCTGGAGAATTCCATAGCCTATATAGTCCACGAGGTCGCAAAGAGTCGGACACGACTGAGCAACTTTCACTTTCATGCACAGAGCCTACAATCCAGATACCTAATATAGAACAGTCTAGCAGTATTTCATCACCTTTTTAAAAGAATAAACCTGAATTGTAGTGGAGTGTCACTAATAGACATATGACCTTTTCCTGTCCTCCAAACCTGGCCCCACAAGACTTCACTGCTATAGTTGAGGATGGACTATTTTTTCTAAGCTCTTTAGTTACATTTCTTCTGCTCAGCCCAGGGAGTGATCTGAGTCTATCTGTCTCTCCACACTCTCCTGTCAGCCCTTCTCTCTGTTGCTCTCCAAGCTCTAGCCACGTGACCTTTCTGTCCATCACCACACATTGTCTCTTTTGTACATTCTATTTTCTCTGCCCGAACTGTCTTTCTCATAATTATTTTTGCCTGAGTAACTTCTACGTGAATGTCAAGTCTAGGCTGAAATGTCAGTTCTTTAAGGAAATTGTGCTTGGCTCCACAATCTCGAAATGTCCCTGGTTACTTTTTCTCATAGTATTCTCCTCTTTTCTTTCATTTGATTTATTGCAATGTGTATGCAGCCTCATTTACTTTACATACAATTTTATTTGTGTAACGATTAGCACCGTATGTCTCCCTTGCCAGGATATATACCATAAGAGCACAGGTGCTGTCTGTTCAGTTCATCAGAGTCCTAGAACAGAGTGTGACATAATAACAGATGCTCGACAGGATTTCCCTGCTGGTCCAGTGTTTAAGAACCTGCCTGCCAATGCAGAGGACATGGGGTTTGACCCCTGGTCAGGAAACTAGATCCCACATACCTCGGGGCAGCTAAGCTTGTGCACCCCACCTGCTGAGCCTAGAGCCTGTGAACCACAACGACTGAAGCCTGTGCTCCCCAGAGCCTGTGCTCCTCAATGAGGGACGCCACGGCAGTGAGAAGCCAGCATACTAGAGAGTAGCCTCCTCTTGCCCCGACTAGAGAGTGCCGGCGTGAAGCTACGAAGACCCAGCATAGCCAGAAATAAACAAACACAGATTTAAAAAAATAAGAGATGCTCAACAAGTGTGTGTTCAAGTGGCACTGAAGCATAGTTCAATCAGGTGGAGTGCAGGTTCCTCTATGTGTGTGTCTGCCCACACAGCCCTGTGAACGGCAGGCAGCTAGTAGGTTCAGTCCTCGTGCTTAAAAGCTCCATCCAGGGAGCCATGGAGACTCTCAATGACCAATGCAAAGATATGGCAGGTGTCATCTTTTTCAGACTAACTGATAAGGAACAAATTTGACCTGTGTGCAGACTGGCCCAAATGGGGCAAGAGACCCACTGCTTCTTGCTGTGGGTCTGGGTCATTCCTGGTCATGAGACCCAAACACACCCTCAGACATGAACAAGGTAGAGTGAGATACTCTCTGGGTCTGGTCTTGTTTTCCCCCAGATTCAGTCATATGAATGAGAGATGAATGTGGGTCAGCATTACTCAAGTTTAACTCTGGTTTAAAATTCAGTCAAATCATGATCTTCAGGCAGAAAAGGGTTTAAGAAATTTGGCTAAGAGGAAAAGCCTATAATAGCTCAGTAGAAAGGAAGAGATCACGTGCTGTAATTTCAAGTCTCTTGACAAATTCCAGCCTTTCTCTCACAAGAATTCACAGAAGAAATCATCAAAGGTTTTGAGGAACTATGAAAAATGACAGACTTATAAAGAGCTGTGTGTGTGTGTGTGTGTGTGTGTGTGTGTTTGTCTGTGTGCACACGCACGCACACTCAGTCATGTCCAACTCTTTGGGAGCCCATGCATTGTAGCCCGCCAGGTTCCTCTGTCCATGGGATTTTCCAGGCAAGAATACTGGAGTGGGTTGCCATTTCCTACCGGGGAATCTTCCTGGACCAAGGATTGAACCCATGTCTCCTGCATTGGCAGGTGGATTCTTTACCACTGTGCCACCTGGGAAGCTCATAAGGAGCTAGTATGGGCAAATGTTCCTTGCTCCAAGAAAGACAAAGAAAGGAAGGAAGCAAACAAGCTGGTTATTAACAATTGCTACGATTTATTGAATGCTTCCATGCCCTAGGCATCTTATGTATACTATCTTTCTTCTTGACAATCAGCCTATGGGAAGGTAAAATTATTCCTACTTTATGGATGAGGGGCTTCCCTTTGGCTCAGCTGGTAAAGAATCCGCCTGCAATGCAGGAGACCTGGGTTCAATCCCTGGGTTGGGAAGATCCCCTGAAGAAGAGTAAAGCTACCCACTCCAGTATTCTGACCTAGAGAATTCCAAGGACTACAGTCAATGGAGTTGCAAAGGTCAGACACGACTGAACAACTTTCACTTTCACTTATGGATGAGAAGGTGAGGTTCAAAAGTCTTAAAACTAGTCATAAAAATGAAAAGAAATTGATGCTTTCAAACTGTGATACTGGAGAAAACTTTTGAGAGTCCTTTGGACAGCAAGGAGATCAAACCAGTCAATCCTAAAGAAAATAAACCCTGAATATTCATTGAAAGGACTGATGCTAAAGCTGAAGCTCCAATACTTTGGTTACCTGATGTGAACAGTCAATTCTTTGGAAAAGACCCTGATTCTGGGAAAGATTGAAGGTAGGAGGAGAAAGGGACAACAGAGGATGAGATGGTTGGATGGCATCACTGACTCAATGGACATGAGTTTGAGCAAACTTCGGGAGATAGTGAAAGACAGGGAAGCCTGGGATGCTAGCTAGCAGTCCATGGGATCACAAAGACACAGACACGATTTAGTGACTGAACAACATAGCTGATCCTCTCAAACCAAGTTACTAAACTGACTAGATTAGGGAGATGTTGCAGCCATAGTATAGTATTTGCATTTCAGCAAGACATTTGATAAACTGCATTCATATAGGAGGCAGAGTGCCCATACCAAAGATGCTACTTGACAAATCAGGGATTTCCAGAGACTCTACTTGGAACTGTGGGGTTCACCATTTAATTAGTTAATCTGAGTATAGGAACTTTCAGCAAATTGACCAAATGTGAGAATGACACAAACTTGGTGAATGGTTTATGTGCTGAATGGCAAGCTCAGGACTCAAAGGGCCTTCCATACTTGGAATGAAGTGTTCACATCCATAGGATGGTATTGATGGGGATAAATATAATGACCTGCATTTAGGACCAAACAGAGGGACTGCATAAGTATGGGACAGAAAAGGCCTGAGTCAAATGTTTTCAATTGGACAGAGGGGAAAAGAGAAACTAAGAATGTCATAGATTGCACTTGTCATGTGCTAGTAATCTAATGCGTCTGCCAAAACAGCTATGGTAAATTTATATAGATTCACTTAATAGAAGTATAATGTTCAGATTAGGGGAGGTTATGGTCTGACCACACTACCCTAATCTAATGGTACCTAGAATACTGGATTCAGTGATTTAATAAAACAGAGAATGTTGGGATAGTTCAGCCATCATGGTGAGAGCACTAAAAATTATTTTAAAGGCATGAATAAAAAATAAAGGTACAGTAAAGGTAACACTGAGGCAATAAAAGATTTGATGGGGCTCAAATAGCCACCATTATATAATCCAAAGATGTTTCAGTGGGAAAGGACCATATTTTATCTGTGTATATTTGGGAGCAGATGTGTGATTAGGGAGTAGAAGCTGTACAGACACAGGACCTTTCCAAAAAATATAGACTGAAGACTTAAAAAAATTTTTTTTGAAATTTAAATGGGTACTTGTGCAGGTATGAATAATCTGTCTCTACTTCAGCTGAGGCCCTAAACGATGAGCTCAGAAAGCTTGAGGCAGGCACTCTTCATATGTTCCCACCCTGACTCTGTGCCCTTGAGTGTTTGGATACCAGCCTTAACTCATTACTCATTTCCCAGCAACTGCCCAATGGCAGGCACACAATCAGCACTCAATATTTGTTCAATTGACAAGAAAATGGCTAATTCCACCTTTTACTCCTACAGCCAAAAAGAATAAAGAACCTTTAAATTCTAGTATCGCTTATGAGAAAATTTGCAGGTAGAATTTCAAGTCAGAGTAAGGAATTCCTTAAATACACTGAATACTTATATATACACTGAACTTAGTTGCTCTAAATAAGGTCTCTGCGTGCTGTTGACAAGAACAAGAATGAGGTATCATAATCAGGTATATTGTGACTGATGCTGAGGAAAGAGGCAGGCAACAGCAGTTCTGAGGCTCCTCGGGAGGTCCCGGGCTCCCAAGACGGGGTGTGTGGTCCCGGGGGAGCAGAAGTCGCTGCTCCTCGAGTGGAGCCAGGTGGCTCTCTAGAGGGGCAATCAGCGAGGCTCTGCAGAAGGACTGGGAATCGCTCACCTTCTTCAGACTATTATTTTCATCTTCATCATTCCTTAGCACCTACTGAAGACGTGTGGGTTACACGGGGCTGGGAAATATCTGTAAATTTATGGAACAAGATGGATGAGCGCTTCGACCAGGCCCGGACTCAAACTTTCAACTATGTTGGTTGTGACTGTGAACCAGACCTGCTTTTTACTTCTTGGAAGGTTGTTTTTATGTTTGGCAGGGCAGGAGGAAACAACATGTTAGCATGTGGCCCATAATTGTAAGATTCTGAAAGGGTCAGGTAATCATAATTTAGGAACGGAGAATCCAAGAGATGGGAGTTTAAGTATTTGAAGGAGTTCTCCTGCCACTGGGTGATGGTGGGCAAGGTACATCCTTCCGCTAGTCTAGACTTCAATTTCCCGGTGTGTAAAATGAAGGAATTGACAAAAATGATACGCGTATTTCCATGCGTGTGTATATAATTTATGTATTTAAAAACTAATTTCATAGTTTATATGTAAAACACATTTATATATTTTACACATTTTATAATTAAAATATATTTTGTAATTTAATATTTTGAATACTGTATGTATGTGTATTCACACGTGCGCGATTTTTTTTCAATACCTCCCAGGCCAATGCCACTAACCCATTAAGTTGGAGGCTACCTGGGCTCAGAAAACCTTTTATGAAGGAGGGCTTGGGGAAATGGACCAGATGCCTTCGGCCCTTACCTTTGCCAAAACAGCAACTCCAAGCCCTCCCTCCAAAACCTTTGCGGCTTCAGCTAGTCCGACCGCGGTTTCCCCCGTTCGCCTTTCACGGCTTCTCCTCGCCCACGTCCCTCCCACCGTGTCCACTGCTGGAAGGGAACTCACACTGCTTGCGGGACTCCTGTGGACCGCCGCCGCCCGGCTCTCCGCGCGCCGCGCGCCCCAGGCCTGCGGGCGGCCGGGACTGCTCGCCATCGCTGCCCGCCTCGGACACCGTCACGGCTGCCGCCGCCTCCTCCCCCCTCATGCCGCCGGGGTCTTCGGGGCCGGCGGCCGGCTGGCCTTCTCCGCTCTGCCGCGGGCTGCCGAGAACGCGAGGCGTCTCCGGTTGCCATGGTGGCGGGATCCTCCCCGCGCCGAGCAGATCTATGCTGGCGTCTCCTGTGTCCCGCGCGCCCAGGAAGACAGGCGCTGGAGTCGGGGATCTGTGATTACTAACCCACCAAAGCAAAGAAATTTCTGTTAATTTCCCGTGTGTTTGTCACAGCAGTTTCTCAAGAGAGGCTTTACTATTGCCTGGTAGGGAAGCTGAGATTCGAAAAGCTAAGAACATTGTCTGAAGTTAGGCAACCAGAAGTGGCACAAGCTGGAATCCGAATTCAGAAAAGTTTGGTCCCAGAGGCCAGAGTAGATAGCCACCTGGAACAGGTAAGAGCGGGACTGGACGCGTGAGTTGAGGTAAGGTCACTGGTTTCACGCAATGAGAAGATTTGTCGTGTCCCGGCTCCTTGCTACACACGCAACATGATGGAATAAATCAATGTTAAGGATTCCTAACTTTTGGATTGTAAATTCTTGTTAAACAACTCTTGTAGTGTCAAGCACTTTTGTATTCACAATCTATTCAAATCCATATAATAACTGATTTTACGGATGAAGTCAAACTCAAAGTTTAATTTGAATAGCAAACGGGAAACTCTAGGGTTTTTGGAGTATGAGATTGCTTTTGTATTTGCAGTTATTTAAAACAACGATGTGGTGTTACTTTTATGAAAGCTAAATGTGCAGAATTAAATAGTTGTACAAGGAATGTAGTCCAGTGCAACTGCCTCCATTTTACCTCCATTTTACTCCACTTTTCACGTCTTTGGGCTGATAATTTAGTATCTACAACACATAACCAAATGCTTACTTTGCCCCTTTTTAATTTTTTCAGCTTTTTCAGTATCATATCTTGATTTCCTAGTATAGGAGATGAGAATTTAGCTCTCTTCCATGCTTCCCACCTCACATGTACTTACTACACCTTCAGACTCTGAATATAGATTAACTGAAATTTTTTCTGGAGTTTTTTCATTACTATGGCTATGTAAACTCTAACTGCAGACAAGTTTATCCACCATCTAATACCCTAGGGTTACTCCTTTCATTTGCATAACCTTTTAATTACTTGGAGTTAATAGTTGACTTGCTCTTTCTTCTTTTCACTTCTTTCTTTTTAACTGAAATATAGTTCATTTACAGTGTTTTGATAGTTTCAAGGGTACAGCAAAGTGACTTGGTTAATGTATATGTGTATATGTAGTGTATATATATATATATATACACTACATATAATATATATACATATATATTGTTTTTCAGATTCAGATATATATATACACACACACTACATATATTATAATATATATACATATATATTGTTTTTCAGATTCAGATATATATATACACACACACTACATATAATATATATACATATATATTGTTTTTCAGATTCTTTCCATTATAGATTATTGCAAGATCTACAGTATAGTTCCCTATGTTACACAGTAGGTCCTTGTTGTTTACCTATTTTATATACAGTAGTGTGCCTCTGTAATCTCAAACTCTTAATTTAGCTTCCCTCCATCCCCTTTGTTAACCATAAGTTTGTTTTCTCTGTCTGTGAGTCTATTTCTGTTTCGTAAATAAGTTCACTTGTATCATTTTTTTAGATTCCACATATAAGTGATATATGATATTTATGTTTCTCCTTCTGACTTGCTTCACTTAATATCTCTAGGTGACTTGCTCTCTAATTTGTTAGATTTTTCATGTCCTTATCACTGATTAATTCCCAAACTCTCCTTGTGTAAATCTCTTAATATGCTTAAACACATGAAGAATTGTATCAATTTCATCTTTTTGAAAAAGTCCCTTCCAGAGAGACCTGTGATCTGCTCCAGTCTTTACTGGTTGCTCTCCAGATCTGTGGGTGCACAGCTGCTGGTGTAAGGATTTCCCTTCACCTTCATACCTCTCTCTTGCGTTGAATCCCTGATTTGTGGAGCCGCTCTTCCTCACTTTCCTAGTTGACTTACTTATTTGGTGGAGCCTACCTCCAAGAGCTTTTTTTCAGGAATGGTATATGGGAGATCCAGGGGTAGACACTGACCATGTCCAGGGGTAGTCCAGGGGTAGAAGTGTCTTTATTCTTTACTAAAGTGAGGGTCTGGCTGGTTAAATAATCTAAATTGGAAATCATTTTTCTTCAGAATATTAAAGTCGTTGCACCATTGTCTTTTGGCATCTACTGTGGCCAATCGAGAATTCTACTATCATTCTATTCCTGACTCCTTGGATAAAGCCTGTCCTTTCTTTGAAACATGGAGGATCTTCTCTTTGCACTCATTGTTCTGAATTCATGATAATGCACCTTGATATAAGTAAATTTTCAACCGTTTTGCTGGGAACTCCTTTCAATCAATAAATTCACAACCTTTATTTTGGAGATATTCTTGAGTTATATGTAATCTCTGTTTTCTCTGTTCCCTCAGGAATTCCTGTCATCTGTATATTATTAGTAGATCTTCTGATTTGTCCTCTAATTTTCTGACCTATTTTTTCTATTTTATATCTCTATTTTTGTATTATTTTCTAGGGGATAGCCTCAACATTATTTTCTAAACATTTTATTTTTCACTTCTGCTATAATGTTTGGTTTGCCCAAAAAGTTCTTAAAGACATGATTTTCATTTTTACCAAGAACGTTATTGAACAATGTATTCACCATTTTGTTTCACTACCTTCTGTAATTTTCCAGGCAACTTTATAATTCCATCTTCCCAGAACTTTTTATCTTTTTAAGCAAAGAACTGTCCCAGGTGCCCTTTACAGTCTTCCAGGGAATTAAAATTTCTTCCATTAAGAGAATTTTGTAAAGATCAAAATAAACAGACATTTGAAGGTGTAATGTCTGGTGAATATGGAGGATGATTCAGAACTTCTCAAACTGTAACAGTTTTTGCCTGGTCATCAAAAAAAATGTGGTCTTCCATTATCCTGATAGAAGATTATGCATTTTATGTTGACTAATTCTGGATGCTTTTTATTGAGTGGTGTTTTCAGTGGTATTTCAGTGGTCTAATTGGGAGCAGTACTTGTTGGGATTAATCCCTTGGTTTTCTGGAAGGAATTCCCTTCTAATCCTACCATGTACACAACATCACCTTCTTTGGATGAAGAGCAGTGTTTGGTGTGGTTGGTCGTGATTCATTTTACTTATCCCATGATCTCTTCTGTTCCCTTCTAATCCTACCATGTACACAACATCACCTTCTTTGGAAGAAGAGCAGTGTTTGGCGTGGTTGTTCGTGATTCATTTTACTTGTCCCATGATCTCTTCTGTTCCACATTATTGTACAGTATCCACAGTATTCATTGCCCATCACAATTTGTTTCATAAATGAAACATTTTTGTTACATTTCAGTAGAGAATCACAAGCAAAAATACAGTCAAGGTTTTTTTCACTTAACTTATGTGGAACCCAAATATCAAAGTGATTAGTGTAACCAAGTTGGTGCAAATGATTTTCAGTACTTGACTTGCATATTTTGAGTCTGTTGGCTTTCTCCATGGTGGTGTAATGGAGATTCTTCTCAATTAATGTCTCCATTTGATGGCTATCAATTTCAACAGGTCTACTGGAATGTGAAGCATCATCCAGCAAGAAATCTCCAGCACAAATCTTCGCCAAGCATTTGATTCATCAAAGGTGCCAAGCACTTTCTCCAAACACTGCACAAATCTTTATTTTGTGTTTCAGTTGTGTTTTCACCTTTATTGACATAATAAAGTATAATATGCTGAAAATGTTGCTTGTTTCTTCCATTCTTAATATTAAAATGGCTATACAAAATTCACCACTTTTGATAAGATTTTTAAAAAATGCAAGCTAATATGATAGCTGTCACAATAGCCTAACAAAATTGTTCTGGATGAAGTTAAAGACAACTCAGTGCTACTAGAGGTCATCATACTAAAAAAGCTGAACAAAGTTTTTGGCCAACCCAAAAATTTCTCAGAACTCTTTTGTGCATGTGTGTAACACCTTGCACTTATATCATGGATGGAACATCTTATCTCTCTAAGGATATTAGTGATGTCATTCCAGTGTTACTTTTTCCTTGCATAACTGCTGCACCCCCCCAGTTAAGTGTCCTGGTCTGTTTTGTCCTCTGTCTTTGTAGCTGCAGGTGATCGTTGACCATCTTGCCCCATCTAGTAGGATAGTGTGACTCTCTGCAGACAGGTGGACTTGTTGACTGGGGGGTTTCACTGATGGGTGATCTGTTTGGGGGAAGTCCTCATGTCACTATTACGGTCTTATCTCTTGAACTTCTCTGATTCTTCATAGAGTGACTTGTCTTGTCCCCCTGCTGGAGAGTATCAGTCTGGTGGCAGCATCCGAGGAAGTGAGGGGAGGAAAGAACTGAAGGCTCAACAAGAAGAATGTAAATATTCATGAAATTTCCATTTCGGTGTAGTGGTCCTACCCTCAAGAGTGCTGTGTACCTCCCACCCCTGAAAGCCTGTTTGACTTCCTTCAGAGAATTACCCTCAGTCTTCTGCTAGGGTAGAGCTGGAGGTGTCATTCATCTGGCTGCCAGGAATGGGGGTTCTGGGGGGCTAACTGCTTTTATTATTGTGGTAAAATGTATATAACATAAAATTGACTATTTTTTTTACTATGTTTAAGTATATAGTTCAATGGCATTAAATACACTCACGTTATACAGCCATTACCACTATCTATTTCCAGGCTTTTTTCATTATCCCAAACAGAAGCTGTATCCATTTAACAATAATTCTCAGTTTTCCTCTCTCCCAGCCCTCTGGTAACCTCTTCTCTTTCAGTCTCTATGAATTTGACTACTTGGGCACTTTGTATAAATGGAATCATACAAAATTTTCCTTTTGTGTCTGGGTTATTTCATTCAACAAAATGTTTTTAAAGTTCATCCATGTTGTAGCATGTATCAGAATTG